TATATTTACTAAACTGATTATTTATAAGAAAAAAATTACATTATATATCTAAAAAATTAGAAAATAAGTAAAATATTGTTTATACAATAAAAGACACTTTTGTATGAAAATTATTTACAAAGTAAAAATACTACTAGTAAGGCAAAAATTCATTTATAAATAAAAATTACTTATAAGTAAAAAGTTATTTATGTATATAAATTATTTAAAAGTACAAAATTAACTTATAAATGTAAATTTACTTGTTTTAATTATAAATAAATATTTCACTTTTGAAATTAAAAAGTAACTTATATAAAAAATTACTTATAAGCAAAATATCATTTATGAGAAAATTTAATATAAGAAATTCATAATTTTACTAAGGGACATATATGTAATTTATTCTTTTCAAAATTCTTCAAAACTTCTCAATAATAAAATCTAAATCATAGGTTAAAATGTTTTAAAAACCCTCATGATAACCATCCAAAATTGTGCCCTTTATCAATACTTTGAAAATACAAATAGCTGGTACCTCAAAACTCTCGAGAAGCCCCTTAATGTTGAAAGAATAATGTTTTTTTAGCTCCACATAAATTATAATCCTTATCTATGTAACGTTAATGTGACATTAAATGATAAGTACAATTAAATGAATAATTTAATTTCACTTTTCATTTAATCTATCACCTAACACAATATAAACTGGAGTTATAATCTCAATGAGGTTAAATAGTATTACCCATGTTGAAAATGTAATTTTTCCTTTTCTGAATTCCCCAATTTTCGCCCTGATTTGATTTTCTTTATTTTAACTTAATTTACTTCTTATTTTCAATCACACATTTACACAGTAAAATATTTTACACGTAAATGTAAATTTTTTTCAGACTTTAACTACACATTCTTTAAAATACATATTTTTTTAAATTAAAGGCCATCAAACATGGGCTTAAATTTGTTTATGTTTCTTTTTTGAATTATTTTCTCAATAAATGGAGAAAGAAATTGCGCTGGATTTCACTTGGATAGATTTTTTGTATTTTGTTTACATTTTTTAAAAATTTTATTTTCATATCTATGTGTATAACTATGATCTCCATTTACTTTCACACAGTCCTCAATTTTTCGAATTTAATTTTTACCAGAAGCTTGATCTTTTTTTTGACTAAATTGTTGTAGGTTCCATTTTTCATTTTCTTCAATATTTTATTTTATTTTTATGTAGAGTTAGTCAAAATTGATTAGTTTTACAAAGTCGTTGTTTGAATTTTTTTGAATATTCTATTCTTCAAACTCACTTTCAACCAAACATTTTTTCAATAAAATAAATTTGCAAGTTGAACATACTTTTCCTAATTTTTTGACCTAATATTTCTCAAAAATATCATTTATCACAAATCACTTTTCAAAAAATAAAATCGAATAATGGCAAAATAATAAAGTTTTTAATAAAACAAGTAATTTCATTGTGGACTGATATAAGTGCTACATATCATCATAATGTTATGAGAAATCATAGAAAAAAATTCGTCAAACCCAACACCAAAGGGCTCCATCTCGTTCACCCATTTAATCAAATATTCGGGTTGGGATCAGGGATGGAGTGGGGACTTCGCCCCAAGGCAAGTACGAGGTGGGTACTGGTATCAAAGGTCTCACCCCACCTCGTTTAACCTTATTTTTTTTTAAGAATTCAATTTTTTAATGTAGAATTTAATGAAATTTTATTAGTTCTAATATAATATGTCAACTAAGATTATCTAAAAAATATAACAAACAATAAAAGTCTTAGTTTACCAAATATATTTGAATAATTTAACTTTTAAAAATAAATAGCTTAGTTAAAAAATTTAATAAATACATTATCATCTCACTTTAATAAATAAATGATGCCAATAAAATGAATTATCAGAATTTTTAAAAAAACTTAAAAAAATTAAACGGTACTAAACGGGGCAATACGAAGTGGGTATGGGATTGGGAATTACTCGACGAGGTGGTGGCGGTGGAGGCTGCCTCGACTTATATCAGCCCCGTTGCATCCCTAAAATGTTATTGATATTGTAGCACCTCTAACAACCATAATACCACCGCAAACTAAAATTCCTTGCTACATCCATAAATGCACAACTCATAGAGGAGCAACAACAACAATTAATAAATTCAAGACCTCGAGAATTATGCCCTCTTTTAGCGCCCCCCCCCCCCCGCCCCCCTTTTTTTTTTTTTTTTTTGAGAAAATGT